AAATGTGAATTGGAGAAATGGAACAAATGGAAATAGATATAGAGATGGATTACAATTAGTACCTTGTACAAGTGATGCAAATGGAAATATGACTCATGTGGCAGGAATGGAACCCATAGGAGCAAAGGATGGGATAATCTATTGTGGAAAATGTTTAAGAGTAGAATCATTAGTAAAACTATTTTTGAAAAAATGGACTAAGACAGCAGGAATATTATTAACAACAAAAGGAGAAGGTGAAATACCAAAAACATTTGAACCATACAGGTTTTGGTATAGACAAAATGGAGTAGATGTGCAGATACCAAGAGCAATAGGACTTTATGAATTTATTGAAAGACATTGGGCAACTGCAAATCAAAAAATAGAAGATTTTAGTGAGTGGCGAAGAATGGTTTATGATCCAGCAAGATATAATAATAATATTTCTACATATAATATAGAATTTATCCAAAAGGTACACTCAATGGGAATGACTGACCAACTGATTATAATAGCACAATATGTAGAATCATTAAAAAAAGTACCAAAATTACAACAAAAAGTAGAAGACTACAAGGCAGATAGGGAAATCCAACTACAAGCAAATGGACGGATGCCAGATATAGGAGAAATAACACTTTATGTAACAAAAATAGCACCATCAATACTAGGACAAAGTAGGGAAGAATATAGTGATAATTATTATCAAACAAATAGAAACAGAGATAGTAGAGGAAGGTTTAGAAGTAATAGCAAAGAAAGAAGGGATAGAAGAAAAAAAGGATTTGGTAGAACATTAGAAGTGAATAGTATAACAATAAAAGATGAAGAGAAAAAAGAAATAAATAATATTGGAAGTTATGGAAGTACATATGTGGCAAAAGGAAGTTTTGGAGGAGGACCAACTGGAGGAAGAATAAAAATGGAGTTACATCCAACAAGGCCAGAAGATAATAAATGTTTTACTTGTGGAGAAAAAGGACATTTTGCAAGAGACTGTACATCTAAAGAAAAGAAAGTAACATTTGATGGATTATGCAATATATGTAATAAACAAGGACATAAAGCAAAAGACTGTTATCAGAATCCTAACAATAAATCAACACCAATGGCAAGTAGTAATAATGAGACAAGAAGAAACAATAATGATATAAAATGTTATAATTGTGAAGGAATTGGACATGTATCAACAAACTGCCCAACATTGTCAAAGAATGAAAGAGATAAAATGTTTGCAGAAACAGCTAAGAAATTAATGGAAGTAAAATGCTATACCTGTCATGGAAAAGGACACATATCACCTGATCACAAGGATGGGATTAAGAAAATACAAGGACCATTTGAAAGAAGAAATAGTTATCCAGGAAGGAATACAGGCTATAATAATAGGAGTACAGGACATAGTAGGACTAACAACTACAGTAGGAATGGAAATAGTTACAATAATGGTTATAAGAAAAGATATTGACAACACTCAGAGTACGAATTAGGACAGCTGATGAAAAAAGAGATAAGAAATAATGGATTACAAATAAGTTTTATACAAACAGCATTGATAACAACAGTAACATCATTATTAGGAAACCAACTAAAGAATTTAATCATGGATACTTTAAGGAATAGGACTGGAAAATTTATCAAGGATATATTTAGACAGAAATGCACAGAGATAATAAAAGATTTTATAGTGACTCAGTTAAGAGGAAAATTTGCAACATATTTAACAGAATTTATAGTAACACACATAGAAAGAAACATTGATAATATATTAGATAGTAATACAACATCTAAGGTAGCAGCTAAGGTAACAGATAATATAGTGAAAGGATTAGGTACTTATTTATTTAAGAAAGAGTAGATTAATGAAATGGTATTTATAATAGTTTATTATCAACTCAACATGGTATGATAACCTTGACTGTAAAGTTATCTTAGTAAGACTCTTAAGCTTCAACATAAAAAAGTTTTAGTTTAAATTACTTACTGAACTCCCACTCAAAGAGTGAGACGACCACAATTCCGAAGAGACCACGGCAATGGTAATGAAAATTATAAATACCTCTGGAATGAGAGAAAGGATGTAAAAAAAAATTTGAAAAAATAATAAAAAATGACAACACTTGAAGAAATTAAGAATGATGATTCTTTATGGCCTGGACAAAAAGCAAAATTGATATTGGAATTACAAGAACAAGAAGAGAGAAAAAGGCAAGGGCTTCCTTATAAGCAAACAACAGCACAAATAATCAAGAAAATAAATGAAGAATTACAAGAATATATAAAACGAAAGGAATATTTAGAAAGAAAAATAACACAATTGAAAACAAAAAAGGAAAATAGTATACTCTTTAAAAAACATTATAATAAAAAGATAAAGAAAAATGAGGAGGAATTGTATAAAATACAGCACCCTGAGAGGTATAAAAAGACTCCAGATGGAACCTTCATTCACAAAGAAATAAAAGAATGATGAAAAATATCTTAAACTTACCAATAGAACTTCAAATACAGATACTTGGAATAATTTGCAATGAAACAATACCTAGAAGAAAAAATATAAAAACATTAGGACAGATAGGAGAAGGAGGAAATTTATTTAGAACAATATTGCAAAAAGAATATGTAAATCAGATAAAACAGAGGCATAAAGTGATAAATGTCATACAGAGAACTTGCAGGTTATGGAAAAATATAATGGATAAATATAAATATACTACAACAGGTATTTGTAGAAAAATAAAAGAAGAATGGTATCAACAATATGATAAAACAACTGCATGTAGAAATTGTAAAAAATTTAAGAACAATAGGTTAACTAAA